GAAAGTCAGGTTAGCGGAACGTCGTAAAGTGAAGCGGGGCCCCACTGTACAGTACACTACTGTATGAATCTTAGTCCTGGCTTCGTCTCTGTAGATGCCTTCCTCTCCCACCACATTGTAAAATGCTCCAAACTTCAGAACATCCGTGACTTAACCTGATTCCTCATTTTTTCTTCTCCCTCTTTCTTCTGTCGCGTGTCTCTGTTCCTTCATTATTTCATCACTTCCCCTTCCCCCCACCTCTGTGCACTTGCTCTCCCTCTGTGGGCACCTAGCTCCCTTGCAGTGCCCCCCTTTCTTTGTATTTGACTGGCTCCTCCTCCTTAATTTCCCACTACTACCACTACTACTACTTCTACTACTACTTCTACTTCTACTTCTACTTACTACTACTACTACTACTACTACTACTACTACTACTACACTACTAGTACTACTACTACTACACACTACTACTACTACTACTACTACTACTACTACTACTACTACTACTACTACTACTACTACTACTACTACTACTACTACTACCACCACCACCACTACCTCTTCCTGCCTATATATAGCCGTCCTGCTCCACTTCTGGTTAGTGTGACTTTGTAAATGGTCCAAGTCGGACCGAAACATCATTGTAAGCTCCTCTCTTCTATGTGCGGGTTATTTGTGTATCGTTCCAGTCACGGTATTGTGCCTTTTTTTGTTATTTAGTACTGTATAAACATTTAAAAATATACTAAAAATGTTATAAATGGTGCATGGGTGACATTAAAGCAGTATTTATTATTTATTTATTTATTTATTTATTTATTTCCAATTTGTGCACACATACAGAGGTACAAAAAAATACAGATAAGAGCAGTATGCCAAAGCCACTTATACTATGCATAGCATTACGGGTTGGCTTAAAATTAACTTAAGATTAACTAAGCAATGATTATTATTATTATTATAATCAAAAAGAAGCGCTAAGCCACAAGGACTATACAGCGCTGCTACTAAGCAATGATGAAATCAGTGATAAAACATTAATGTAAACAGATAACTATAAAGCACAAGTGAGTATTACAAAGACAGGTCATATGGTTGCATTCAGTTAGGTAGTGATTCTGTTAGGTAGTGTATTTAAAAAATAATAAAGTTAGATTGGGTTTTAGGTTTAACATTTATGTGATATAATTGTGAGAAACATTTAAGATATACAATTTATAATGTTCAGTTATTCAGTATTTATTTGGTTTTGGGTGAGTAAGTAATCTTTGAGAAGAGACTTGAATTTATAAACAGGTTGTGTTTCTTTTATATTTACAGGTAATGAATTCCAGATTTTAGGGCCTTTTATGTGCATTGAGTTTTTGCATAGTGTGAGATGGACACGAGGAACATCAAAGAGTGATCTGTGCCTTGTGTTATGGTCATGTGTTCTGTTGAAGGTTGGCAAGGAGATGTTTGAGGGGAGGGTTAATATCAGAGTTAAGTGTTCTATGTATGTAATAGGTGCAGTAATAAGTATGGATGTTTTGTATGGTGAGTAGGTTTAGTGTATTGAATATTGGTGGAGTGTGCTGCCTGTAGTGAGAATTTGTTATCATTCTAACTGCAGCCTTTTGTTGGGTAATTAGTGGTCTGAGATGGTTAATTGTTGTTGAGCCCCATGCACAAATTCCATAGGTGAGATAGGGGTAAATAAGAGAGTGATATAGGGCCAGGAGGGCTGACTGTGGAACATAGTACCGTATCTTCGATAGTATGCCTACAGTCTTGGAAATTTTCTTAGAAATTTGATGTATATGTGTATGAAATTTGAGTCTATTATCAAGGTGGATTCCTAAGAATTTTCCCTCTGTTAGTTTTGTGATAGGTGATCCATTTATCATTATGTTAAGAGGGACATCTGTAGCTCTGTTACCAAACTGAATGAAGTAGGTTTTGTCAATGTTTAGTGTAAGTTTGTTAGTCCTCATCCAGGTAGATATTTTCTGTAATTCGGTATTTACAGTATTGGCTAGCGTGACTGGGCTCGGGTGAGAGAAGACGTATGTAGTGTCATCTGCAAATAGTGTGGGTTTGAGTAATTGCGAAGCATTTGGAAGGTCATTTATGTATAGGAGAAAGAGAAGAGGGCCAAGGACACTTCCCTGTGGGACACCAACTGTAATTGGTTGTGCAGAAGAGTTTGCCCCATTTGCGTACACATATTGGCTTCTGTTGCTGAGGTAAGACTTGAGGTAGTTGAGGGAGTGCCCTCTTATACCATAGTGTGACAATTTTACGTGGAGCAAGTCATGGTCAACTGTATCAAAAGCTTTACGTAAGTCAATGAAGATCCCCAGTGGGACTTCTTTTTTCTCTATTGCAGTGTATATATGTTCTAGCATGTGTATAATAGCATCATTAGTATTTTTATTAGGCCTGAATCCAAATTGGCAGGGGTTGAGTATGTTTTGGGAGATAAGGTAGGAGTAGATTCGTTTATGAATTAATTTTTCGAAGATTTTTGAGAGAGGGTGTAAGTTGGATATTGGCCTATAGTTATTCAACTCTGTTTGGTCTCCTCCTTTGTGGATCGGGGTGACCCTTGCTATTTTGAGTACTGTAGGGAAGGTGGAGGATTCAATGGATTTGTTAAAGTATCAAAGATGGTTGACATAAACTCGGCACCATTATAGTATGCTCCTCGTTTAGCGACAAATTTGTTTAGCAACGCAGTATTAGAAACGGAACTCCATCGTTAAGTGAGGAGAGGCTTACTGTATTCATTTAATTTCTAAAGGTCTTACTGGACATGAGATACGAAGTATGGCTGTATGACTTCATTCCTCTGAAGCAAGACCCGATTTTTATTCACTAAAAAGTACTAAACCCATTGGAGTCATAGAATATTAACATTTTGACAAATGAAGAAATAACTTACTGGGCTTTTCATCCATGAACTGTGTTAGGGAAACAGTAGTCCCCACAGAGTTCACCCACCTGGTAAAAGGTGACTCAGCTTTTGGGGAGGGGAGGGGGAAAATTAACCTGGCTGAAATTTGCTTCTACAATAACAAAGGAATCCAACCCTATAATTTTCTTGTAGCATGAGCAGAGGAATATTGGCTTATGTCTATACAACCAAATTATAATTTCCCAAAAACAAAATAGTCCATAATGTTTATATACAATATCTCCTGAAGTCTGCCTGTCTTGTTGTCAAAGGAAATTTTAAATAGTAAGGATCATTGTAGTACAGTGTTGTAAGCTTATTATCGTAATAGCCAATTCCCTATCTGCCTAGAGTTAACCTAGGCCTAGGGTGTGTTCCAAGGCTTAATTTCCCTGTGGCCCGGTCCCAGACCAAGCCTTCCAGTGGATGACATGACTGGGTTGTTGGTGCTGGCTGCACAAAGGCCAGCATGAGCACCACAGCCTGTCTGATCAGGCACCGACTTGAGAAACTCGTCCAGTTCCTTCTTGAAGATAGCCAGATGTCTATCCTCCTTATGTATGAAGGGAGAACATTGACAAGTCTTGGTCCCTTCACACTTATTGAGTTTCTTCCTTATTGTACTCATTGCAACCCTGCTTTTCATTGGGGGTACTGTATTTTGCACCATCTGCCAAGCGTCTCACTTTTATGGGGAATGTACTATTACAGGTCTCCCTCCACATTAACGAGTTCCACTTTCGCAGGCTTGAACATTCGCGAATGCCCAGCCTCCCAATCATATTTAAAATATTTCATTACATATGTTAGGAATTGTGGTGGTGGCAGAGTTTGTTTGGAGATAGAACAAGATAGTCCTTCAATATGACACTAATATCAACTCTATGGCCTACATATCTATCACAATTCATCTAATATGACATAATAAAGAATATTAATAACATAGAAACATAACATATACCCTAGAATGAATAAATATGTCATTAAGTATGTCACGAGTGTTGTTGCGTTGTTGTTGTTGGGTATATAAGGGCCACTGAGAGCATAAGCCTTACATAGTGGTGGTGGAGGGAGGCGACAGCAGAGGCAGTAGAGACAGCGGTGTTGTCAGTTGCCCTATATAACTCAAACAACTTTGGAGGAGTTAGGTTTGTGCTGTCCTTTTTCTGTCGATTAATCGCTGAACTTACTTGCTACACTGTTAATGCTACACTTTATCGCTAGCTGGCGCTATAGCCTTTATTGACTCGTGCTGCTTTAGAATCATATATATCGTAGAATCACTGAAGAAGGCACATTCTCCCCTACAGTATTTCCCTACAGTATATTGGGGCACCAAACATTCGCGATTTTTCAACATTTGCGAGGCTTTTGATTCCCTAACCCTCACGAATGTTGAGAGAGACCTGTACTTGTTTAATCATGTGCTGGCTATTCATTGTTGCCTGCCCCCCAAAATTGCCTCAAATACCAGTCTTCATAAGTTTTATCAGTACAGCCTCTCCCCACTTTGCGACGTACATATTCACCGACGAGTCAGGCTTATGATGGGCACTCTGACCAGTATGCATACCTAAATAATGTATATCAGACCTGATTTCCTCTATTCTCTTTATTACAATGTACAGTACACTACTGTAGAAACATTTAAAAATATACTAAAAATGTTACAAATGGTGCAAGGGTAACATTAAAGCAATATCAGAGATGGTTGACATAAACCCACTATCATTACAGTATGCTCCTCGTTTAGCAACGAATTCATTTATTGGCACGGTATTAGGAGTGGAACTCCGTCGTTAAGTGAGGAGAGGCTGTATCATTAAAATGTGCTTTGGTGACTGCTAACAAAATGTAGTACAGTATTTTACAATATTATGCTCTGTGTACAGGATCTGGTAATTAAAATATAATTTACAGTAAAGCATTAATATTTATGTATAAATTATGCCCGGCATTGTCTTCAAATAATTTTTTGTTTATTGGATACTAATGTATAATTCAGAAAAAATGCTTAACCCACAGGAGTCATTCTGCACTAAGATTCTAATGTGATGTTCCTATTTTTCTTCATTTGCAGAGATTTATTACCGAAAGATTATTTTGAAAAGTATTATCATAATGGCTCTCAATATGTTCACCGCCCAGATCCAGAGGTAAGATATTCTCACTTTATGTTTGAATATGGAGTATGTGGAATGGCAATAAATAGTTCGATTAATAGTAAATATGGAATTAAGATTAATTTTCCAACTTGATTTAACCTAAAACAGATTGCAGATGTGAAGTGAATTTTGTGCATGCATTCTCAGTAATAATTTTGAGACTACAGTTGTATTTAAAACCTCATAAAATGAGGAATACAGATGTTATTTATATTGCATTGAAGGTAAGTATCAGTGAATAACAATATTAGGTACATCATACACCTGTAGGTGATTGTGGTGAGAATAATTTCATTAAACAAGTGGTTGGCTACCTTTTATTTTGCCTTTTTCAATTGATAAAGATCACATTTTATATTATCTTATATAATTATTGTTTGTGTTTATATGGATTGAGGTACTGTAGTTTCTTAAATACAGTATAACCATACCCTATTTTTTTATTTATTTTTTTTTTCAAAAAACCTAATTGGTTCACAAATTTTCAGCTGAATGTGAGTACAATACATCTAACTTCTGTGGTAGTAATTGCAGGACCAGTAATAAGATGAACTGTACTATTTGTTCCCTATTTTACTAGTTTTAAATTACAGTATATGTAAGCTGTCACAATAGCACAGGGTTATAAATGAAAAATGAACGGACATGCGTAAAGCTCATCTAGGAAAATGACAAAATTCGGCCACAGGAATGATGACACTGGAATCAATAACAAATAATGTAACAATGCATTGCAGATGGCTGGTATGTGTCATTATCAGGGAGTAATTCGAGGTCGTCCAGGGTCATGGGCAGCACTGTCCACCTGCCATGGCATCAGGTATAGTAATTCCATGCTCTTTCTAATGTCTATTTTATGTGAATAACTTAACCCTTGTAAATTATTCAGTGCCAAGACACTTGGAGGATTGATCCTTCATCAGTTAATTGTGAGATGAACAATTCTCTTACTACTATATTTTCATATCTTTTACTACCTGTGTCTTATATTTGAAGATCGTTGTTACACTTAATGTCAGTAAAACTTTTTTTTTACAGCTACACCTCAAGCAAACTTTGAAGAAAGAATGGTGTCCATGTTTATATACATATCATAATTATACATTACTCATGTAGTACATACATGTATATTGTATATGAAACTATTGCGAGTCATTATTCATTATCCAATTCCTTTCCTTTTCTTTTTAATTCATGTCTAATGAAGTTACAGAAACAGTGCACAGAATATAATGAAGAGACTTCAGAAATACTGTGCAGTGTATTTACGTGTTTTGTTAGAAATTCAATGACAATTACATAGTTGTTATATACATATATATATCTAATTTAAGAGAGAGACTCTCTTTAAGAATTATTTCACCCTTGTGTGTCATGTTTCTTAAGTAACCGTGAATTACATCTGTATTGTTAATTTTACAAGTGGTGTTGTGTTTGATGGCCAAGACATGCATTATGTAGAACGGGTACCAGAAACACCGGTGGCCATCGACAGTCCACATTATATCTTCAAGCACTCCAATATCATCCCGCAAAACTTTTCATGCGGTAAATAACTCTGATTCTTTTCTATTGTATACAGTACTTTTAAATGTTGTAGAGTTACAAAAATGAAGTCATGATTATGCATGTTGTTTTTTACAGTTAGGTCAAGTTAATATAAATTTCATGGTGTTGTGAACAGTGTACTGTATATGCCATCCTTTTAATTTCTACATCTAATTCTTAATTCATTTACTGCTAGAACATTTGCAGTGTTTGCTCTATTATCTGACTTCACTAATAATGTTATGGATGTTTGCATACAAGGGACTTAGTGTAAGATATACTACAATTATATGTTTTTTAAAGCTGTCACACTTGGACATTAAGAAAGTGCCATATTTATAGGGGAAAAAAAAGAGCATCAACAGTCTCATGACAGTTGAAAGATTAACGACTGCTAGACACTTAGAAAAGTTATGAGTAATAAGCTTAAAAAGCTTGAGGGTATTGAAATCCAATGGGAAGATATAATTCAATCTTCTGTAATTTTTTTTTTTTTATTTTTTTTTATTATACACCAGGCGATTTCCCCCCAAGGCAGGTGGCCCGAAAATAGAAAAACTTTCACCATCATTACTCCATCACTGTCTATGCCAGAAGGGTGCTTTACACTACAGTTTTTAAACTGCAACATTAACACCCCTCCTTCAGAGTGCAGGCACTGTACTTCTGTAATGTATAAATAAAAGATTGGGGAGTAATAGTAGAATGTGTGGAAGAGTATGTATAGTTGGTAGGGAGGAGTATTATTTGTATTATTTTGTAGACTAGGATGTGGAATAAGAAGAATAAATACTGATGTATAAAGATATCAGAAGAGGATACCATGCTGTATAATAATTCAATATAGTAAAGCTGGTGAAAAATTAAGTGTAGTGTTTTAAGTTTGGGCTAGTGAAGAGAAATGATGCATAACTATACAATATGTATAAAGGAAAGATACACAAATGAGGGAAAGAGACAAGGGAAACTGAAAGAGGGTATGATAAGAGATTTCATGAATTTACTGATTATTATTACAGTATTACCAACTCTGAAACGATGAAAAAACAGGTGATTGCATATACCTTTTATAAGAAAAAAAAAAGAAAGCATTCCTGGATATATGGATTTTCCTTACATTTTATTATAATAGTAATAATGATGATAATAATAATCCTCCATGGGGAAGTGGAAAAGAATCCTTCCTGTGTAAGCCATGCATGTCATAAGAGGAGGCTAAATTGCCATGAGCAAAGGGACTAGTAACCTCTTCTCCTGTATAAATTACTAAATGTAAAAAGAAAAACTTTTGTTTGTCTTTTCATGTCGCCCTGTCTCGGTGGGAGATGGCCAGTACATTGAAAAAAAATTCTTAGTTGTAATATTATTATTATCTTTATTATTATTATTATTATTATTATTAATATTATTATTATTATATACAGTGGACCCTCAACCAACGATGGCATCGACTAACAACAAAATTGGGTAACGATGCATTTTTGCGTAAAAATATTGGCCCGACCAATGATGAAAAACTCGGGTAGGACATTCGTCCCAAACGCGTCCGCCTGTCCGTCCAGCCTGAGCGCCTCAGCTGCCCTGCCTTCAGCTAGTGTGCCATTATTTACAAGCCAGGATGGATGGTTCCACAAATACATTTGATACATTTTGTATTATTCCATTGTTTTTAGTGCTTGTAACTGCTAAATAAGCCACCATGGATCCAAAGAAAGCTTCTAGTGCCAACCCTGTGGTAAAAAGAGTGAGAAATACTATCGAAATACTATCGTACCACCGTCAGCTGCTGCTGTACCACGGTCAGCTGCTGCTGCACCACCATCAGCTGCTGCTGCTGCTGCTGCACCACCATCAGCTGTACTACTTGAAGATGTGGAGAGACTGTTGTTGGTGTGGCTTAACGAGAAACAGTTACCGAGAAACAATTAACCCCGGAGAGTTAGCTTAACGAGAAACAGTTACAGAGAAACAATTAACCCCGGAGAGTTAGCTACCCAGGATAACCCAAGAAAGTCAGCGCATCATCGAGGACTGTCTAACTTATTTCCATTGAGGTCCTTAATCTTGTCCCCCAGGATGCAACCCACACAAGTCGACTAACACCCAGGTGAACAGGAAAAAATGCTTGGAACTAGTGCTCATATTGGTGAATTTAAGGCCAGCAAAGGTTGGTTTGAGAGATTTAAGAATCATAGTGGCATACACAGTGTGATAAGGCATGGCAAAGCTGAAAAATTCCAACCTAAACAAGTGTTCAGTTGTGACAAAACAGGCCTGTTCTGGAAGAAAAATGCCAGACAGGACCTACGTTACTCAGGAGGAAAAAGGCACTCCCAGGACACAAGCCTATGAAAGACAGGCTAACTCTCATGTTTTGTTGTAATGCTAGTGGGGATTGCAAAGTGAAGCTTTTACTCATGTATCACTCTGAAAATCCCAGAGTGTTCAAGAAAAACAATGTCTCATCACTCATCAATACTCTTCAATAAAGGTAAGTGTCATTTTAGTATTTATGTATTTATTGTGCATGTCTCATTGTTTTCTTTGTTGGGAAATGTATATTTCATGTAAAAAAAAAATATTTTTTTAAATAAATTTGGCTGTCTGGAACGGATTAATTGGATTTCCATTATTTCTTATGCGGAAAATTAATTCGGCTACCAATAAATTCGGTTAAGGACAAGCTCTCTGGAACGGATTAAAATTGTTGGTCGAGGGTCCACTGTAGTGTATTATTGTTTCTATAAAAATGCTAAACTGTATTAAAATTGCATCTTGGCAGACTTAGCATTAATTACTTTCCAGTGACTATACATATGGCAGAGGTGAATATTTTTACACTATGTTCAACACTTACTTTTTTCCAGGCTACTCAGGGAAACCTCACCCCGTTCGGGATCTATTTCATGATGAAAACTTCACCAGATTGCTCAGAGTAAGTAGCTTCAATATTTCAGTTTATTTGCTATAGAAATTTTATTAAAAAAAAAAAGTACAGATTTGGAGTTAAGTAATTGAATATAGTGCATGCAACTAGCACCGACAGCCTGACTGATCAGACCATCAATCAGGAGACTTTGGCTGGAATGGAATTGAACCCCAGAATTGTATACAGTAAATTATAGGTAACTGTACCCCATATTTATATCATGTAAATTTTAGTTATATACATTAATTTAATGCATTACTTTTGGATCACGCTGCCTTGGTGGGAGATGGCTGATGTGTGAAAAAAAAATTGAAAAATGAACAGTTCACTTTCAACATACTATTATAGGTGAAATATGGAAAGTTTACCTGAAGGTAATTTCTGTAGTTAATGCACCTAGTGCCTGATCCTAGACCAGGCCTCCTGGTTGATAACTGGGTCTGTCAAGTGCACTTTAGTGTATACACCACAGCCCAGCTGACCAAGGGCCTGGGCCCTGGGCCCCCCACACCCACCAGAAGGGCCCCCCCACCAAATGATGAAAAGTATTATGACACACATTATACTGAGAATTGAATAGATCATGACAAGAGAAAATGTATGCAAGAGTTGGAATTGTGGTGGGATTGTCATGTTGAATCATCTGATCGCTCATGTTACATCATGTGGTTGACATTTTCCCAAATGTTGAAGTCACATTAAGAATGTACCTTGTAGTGATGGTAAGCAATTGCAGTGCAGAACATTCCTTTTCAAAGCTTAAACTTATTGAGAACTGGCTACAAATGAGCGTGAAGCAAGGGCAGCTCGTGAACCTGACATTCATGAGCATAGAATCTGTCATTCTGTGCTTGTTGGATTTTGATGGAGTCATCAGAGACTTTTCCATGAGAAAAGCATGGAATGTACCTGGCTTATAATATTTTATCTGATTGAAGGTAACTGCTCATAAGTCTGTAGATTACTTTTGAGTTACACTTGCCAATGAACCAAAAGGGTGTTAAAATACACTATAAATCCAATTTATTGTTTCATATCTTCAGCTTAGGAGGATGGTATGTATATTGAGAGTGGTGAAAGCTTTCCAAGGAGAAACTTAAAAGTCTTCTAACCATTAGAGTTAAGACCTTCTTAATGCAAGGTGCCCACCACCAAACTGGGCCCCAGGCCCCCTCCACCTAAATCCAGCACTGTTTGTCGAGCTTCTTGCTTTTTTAAGGAGAGATTTTGGTGTGAAGATTTGGAGTCAGCCCCTTTAGAATTTTCCTGGTGTAAATTATAATACAGTGGAACCTTGAGTTTAATCCATTCCATGACCTAGCTCGTAACTCAATTTGCTCGTATATCAAATCAGTTTTCTCATTTAAGTTTTTTGGAATGCCATTAATCAGTTCCAGCGGAATTCCTGCTCTTAGGAGGCAGGACAAAATACATCAATATGATGCTAATATAAATTCTACAGGTTATTTATCTATCATAATTCATCAAATATGACATAATAAACAATATAAATAACATAGAAACATGATATATACTCTAGAATGAATAAAATATGTCATTATGTGATGAGCGGTGGTGGCAGCCATTGCCACTCTTGCACTGACCATATCTTCCCATTCTTCCCCTTCTGAAAATGGAGTGTTTGTGAGGCTAACTGCACTAGATCACTAGTTTCATAAGGAAAACACTGAAAAATGTATTTATAAATAAGAAATATTGTGTTAAAACATAATAGAGAATGTAAAGAAATAAACTGGTTTTATAAAGTGTATGTACACTGGCAGAGGTGGAGGGTGGTGGTGGAGGGTGGTGGTGGAGGGTGGTGGTGGAGGGTGGAGGTGGAGGGTGGAAGATAGGCTACTTGCTACTACGCTCGTGCTGCCTTGCAAACAACCTGCACACCTCGCTTGTTTATCTATGATTTCATGCGTAATTCCATGGAAATCATCCTCTTTTTCTTCTCAGCACTGTCCTTTGCACTTACTTTCTTAGGACCCATGGTTAGAAAAACAAAATTTGGCCAAATAACTGTAAAAAGTGCTTGCATTTCTTAATAAAAATGCTTCATTTTTTACAGTAATTTGGCCAGATTTTTTTTTCTAACCATGGGTCCTAAGAAAGTAAGTGCAAAGGACAGTGCTGAGAAAAAAAGAGGATGATTTCCATGGAATTACAGCATGAAAGCATAGAGAGATAAGTGAAGTGTGCAGGTTGTGGGTTGAGGGGAAAGCTCGCTCATAACTCGGATGTTGGCTCCTAACTCAGAGATACGAACGACGGCTCGTATTTTGTTGGGACACTCGTAAGTCGAAGTTCCACTGTACGTATATCTTTCTTGCCTATTTTAATCACATCTACATTTTGTCTGTAATAAAAGGGGCTGTTAGAATACAGGTAGAATGTAGGTAGTAGGTTGGTAGACAGCAACCACCCAGGGAAGTACTACCGTCCTGCCAGATGACTGTGAAACAGAAACCTGTAACTGTTTTGCATGATGGTAGGATTGCTGGTTTCTTTTTCTGTCTCATAAACACCCTAGATAACAGGGATATCTTGCTACTCCTACTTACACCTTGGTCACACTTCACAGACACGCACATGCATATATATATATACATACATCTAGGTTTTTCTTCTTTTTCTAAATAGCTCTTGTTCTTCTTTATTTCTTCTATTGTCCATGAGGAAGTGGAAAAGAATCTTTCCTCTGTAAGCCATGCGTGTCGTATGAGGCGACTAAAATGCCGGGAGCAATGGGCTAGTAACCCCTTCTCCTGTAGACATTTACTAAAAAAGAGAAGAAGAAAAACTTTATAAAACTGGGATGCTTGAATGTGCGTGGATGTAGTGCGGATGACAAGAAACATATGATTGCTGATGTTATTAATGAAAAGAAGTTGGATGTCCTGGCCCTAAGCGAAACAAAGCTGAAGGGGGTAGGGGAGTTTCGTTGGGGGGGAAATAAATGGGATTAAATCTGGAGTATCTGAGAGAGTTAGAGCAAAGGAAGGGGTAGCAGTAATGTTGAAGGATCAGTTATGGAAGGAGAAAAGAGAATATGAATGTGTAAATTCAAGAATTATGTGGATTAAAGTAAAGGTTGGATGCGAAAAGTGGGTCATAATAAGCGTGTATGCGCCTGGAGAAGAGAGGAATGCAGAGGAGAGAGAGAGATTTGGGAGATGTTAAGTGAATGTATAGGAGCCTTTGAACCAAGTGAGAGAGTAATTGTGGTAGGGGACCTGAATGCTAAAGTAGGAGAAACTTTTAGAGAGGGTGTGGTAGGTAAGTTTGGGGTGTGCCAGGTGTAAATGATAATGGGAGCCCTTTGATTGAACTTTGTATAGAAAGGGGTTTAGTTATAGGTAATACATATTTTAAGAAAAAGAGGATAAATAAGTATACAAGATATGATGTAGGGCGAAATGACAGTAGTTTGTTGGATTATGTATTGGTAGATAAAAGACTGTTGAGTAGACTTCAGGATGTACATGTTTATAGAGGGGCCACAGATATATCAGATCACTTTCTAGTTGTAGCTACACTGAGAGTAAAAGGTAGATGGGATACAAGGAGAATAGAAGCATCAGGGAAGAGAGAGGTGAAGGTTTAGAAACTAAAAGAGGAGGCAGTTAGGGTAAGATATAAACAGCTATTGGAGGATAGATGGGCTAATGAGAGCATAGGCAATGGGGTAGGTTTAAAAATGTAGTGTTAAGAGTGTTCAGCAGAAGTTTGTGGTTACAGGAAAGTGGGGTGCGGGAGGGAAGAGGAGCGATTGGTGGAATGATGATGTAAAGAGAGTAGTAAGGGAGAAAAAGTTAGCATATGAGAAGTTTTTACAAAGTAGAAGTGATGCAAGGAGGGAAGAGTATATGGAGAAAAAGAGAGAGGTTAAGAGAGTGGTGAAGCAATGTAAAAAGAGAGCAAATGAGAGAGTGGGTGAGATGTTATCAACAAATTTTGTTGAAAATAAGAAAAAATTTTGGAGTGAGATTAACAAGTTAATGAAGCCTAGAGAACAAATGGATTTGTCAGTTAAAAATAGGAGAGGAGAGTATTAAATGGAGAGTTAGAGGTATTGGGAAGATGGAGGGAATATTTTGAGGAATTGTTAAATGTTGATGAAGATAGGGAAGCTGTGATTTCGTGTATAGGGCAAGGAGGAATAACATCTTGTAGGAGTGTGGAAGAGCCAGTTGTGAGTGTGGGGGAAGTTCGTGAGGCAGTAGGTAAATGAAAGGGGGTAAGGCAGCCGGGATTGATGGGATAAAGATAGAAATGTTAAAAGCAGGTGGGGATATAGTTTTGGAGTGGTTGGTGCAATTATTTAATAAATGTATGGAAGAGGGTAAGGTACCTAGGGATTGGCAGAGAGCATGCATAGTTCCTTTGTATAAAGGCAAAGGGGACAAAAGAGAGTGCAAAAAATTATAGGGGGATAAGTCTGTTGAGTATACCTGGTAAAGTGTATGGTAGAGTTATTATTGAAAGAATTAAGAGTAAACGGAGAATAGGATAGCAGATGAACAAGGAGGCTTCAGGAAAGGTAGGGGGTGTGTGGACCAGGTGTTTACAGTGAAGCATATAAGTGAACAGTATTTAGATAAGGCTAAAGAGGTCTTTGTGGCATTTATGGATTTGGAAAAGGCGTATGACAGGGTGGATAGGGGGGCAATGTGGCAGATGTTGCAGGTGTATGGTGTAGGAGGTAGGTTACTGAAAGCAGTGAAGAGTTTTTACGAGGATAGTGAGGCTCAAGTTAGAGTATGTAGGAAAGAGGGAAATTATTTCCCAGTAAAAGTAGGCCTTAGACAAGGATGTGTGATGTCACCGTGGTTGTTTAATATACAGTGGACCCCCGCATAACGATGGCATCACATAGCGATTATTTCGCATACCGCTTACTTTAATCGCAAAATTTTTGCCGCGCATACCGATTAAAAACCCGCTCACCGATTTTCGTCCGAGACGCGTCCAATGTGCGCCCTCAGCCAGCCTCACAT